AAACAGCTTGCTGGTGGGACTTGTATTGTAGTCGGCTGAAGCCCGTACTTTGCGTCTCGGGTGCTGGTTACTGCACTCTGTGATGGTGCTGGTTATCCTGTTCTGGTGAAAGTGTTTGTTATTGTACTCAGTGATGGTTCATTGGTGCGAAGATTTCGTTTAGTTTATAGTCTGTCCTCCAGTACTGGTGAGGCCCATACTTACCACTATGGATTTCACGCTGCTATAAGAGAATATCTCTGGGTACAGTGAGGCTGGACACTGGATGTTGCCTCAATGGAGTCCGTGGTTCCTGTATACATGGCTGGAGCTTCGGTATGTTTCCAATGGTGGATGTGCCGCTACTCTGCTTCCGTGGCGCTTTAGGTGATTTCTAATATAGGAAGCATCTCGCTGGAGGAATTTGCATGGCAACCTGGCAGGGCCCGTACTTGAGTTTTCTCGTGCTGGTTACCAGAATCTGTGGTTACTATACTGTGTGCGGGTGTTTGTTACCCTGGCAGGTGATGGTGCTGGTGACTCGATTCCGTGTTGGTTCATTGGTGGTAGTACCTTGTGATACAGCGCTCGATGCGAAAACATGTGTGTCCTCTTCACAGTCCTCCTCCTCCGCCTCTGCCTCGTTTGATTCGTTTCAGTCGTGTCCCTGGGATCTCGCTCTTCTGGGGTCCTGGTTCCTTAGCCAGTTCCTGTTAGCTTGGCTTCGGTGGTTCTTCCGATGTCGGCTATGGTAGTGACTGCCCTTGTTCTGGTGTGAGTCGTTCGGGCTCTTCGTCCTGGTGTGAGTCGTTCGGGCTTCTCGTGGTGTGAGTTGTTTGGGCCCCTCAACCGGGTGTGAGTCGTTCGGGCCCCTCCTCCTGGTGTGACTCCTTCGGGCCCCTCGTGGTGTGAGTCGTTCGGGACCCTCGTCGTGGTGTGAGTCGTTCGGGCTCCTCGTGGTGTGAGTCGTTCGGGCGCCTCCTCCTGCTGTGAGTCGTTCGGGCGCCTCATTCTGGTGTGAGTCGTTCGGGCTCTTCGTGGTGTGAGTCGTTTGGGCCCCTCGTCCTGGTGTGAGTCGTTCGGGCTCCTCGTGGCGCGAGGCGTTCGGGCACCTCGTCCCCTTTTGGGGCGTCTTGGGGGCCTCTTGGCGGCCCCCGGGGGCTTCTAGGAGTGTCTTGTGTGGCTTGGGGGAGCCTCTTCAGGCCTCTTGGGAGCCTCGTAGACGGCGTTTGGGGCGTCTTGGGGGCCTCTTGGCGGCCCCAGGGGCTTCCAGGAGCGTCTTGGGTGCCTCGGGGGAGCCTCTCGGGGCCTCTTGGGGAGCTCTTCGGGGCATCTTGGGAGCCTCTTGGAGGCCTCTTGGGGGCCTCCTTGGGGCCTCTTGGGGCCATCTTGGAGCCTCTTCCCGTCGGAAGAGGAAATGGAACCCAAAACCTTCGTGAAATGAATGATGTTGCCTTAAAGGACGAGGGGAGGTTTCATGAGCGCTGCCCCCTCAGAAGGCGAACGTGGGGCCCAAATCGTAGTAAAATCAATGAGTGTGTCTCCAAAGAAGAGGAGAGGTTTTTTCTCCCTTCCCCCGTGACATTGCGATTCCCTCACGGCTTTCCGTAGCCATTGTGGCACCGATCGCTGAGATTTTTCGCTGCGGCGCTGCCTGAGCGCTTGAGCACCGCAGCCTGCTCTGCGACCGAGTCGACCAGGCTCGAAGGCCTGTGCGAAAACATGTGTGCCTCTACTCATTGTCAGTGGCGCTTCAGGTGGGCTGTACTATAGGAAGCAGCTTGCTAGTGGGACTTGTACTCCACTCGGCTGAACCCCGTACTTGGGTTCCCTGGTGCTGATTAGTGTACTCTGTGATGGTGCGGGTTACCCTGTTCTGGTGAGAGTGCGGGTTTCTGTACTCAGTGGTGGTTCAGTCCTGCACCGACTAGGCAAGAGAGCCACGCGTTTCTGGACGCCCGTATGACTTTGTTGGAGGATCACGCGCGGCATTGGGCTCAGATGGTGTATGCTCTGTATTGCACGACTGTCGAGTGCACTACTTACCACTATGACTCTGGGTAGAGCGAGTCGGGACACGGGATGTTGCCTCAACTGAGCTGTCGTTCGTGGGTTCTCTGGTGCGGGCTGCTATACTCTGTAATGGTGCTGGTTATTCTGCTGAGGTGATGGTGCTGGTTACCGTACTCGCCGCTATTGCCTCTTAGTCTGATTGCAGGGTTCCTTCGGGTGTCCGGCAGTGGGCTGAGATGGTTGATGGTCTCTCGTCCAGTACTGGGAGTACCTCGTGATACACCGCTGCATCAGTAATGGGTGGTATCGCTACTGTGCCACACTGGGAGATCAGGCAGTTTTATCCGTGGATGTGGCCGCTACCACGGTGCAGTGGATTCGTTCGGTGCTCTCCTCCTGGTGTGAGTCGTTCAAGTCCCCCCCCCTGGTCAGAGTCGTTCGGGCCCCTCCTCGATGTGTGAGTCGTTCGGCGAGGGGCCCGAACGACTCACACAAGGAGGGGGCCCGAACGACTCACGCCAGGGCGAGGGGCCCCAACTACTCACACCACCTGCATTCTGGTCCAGAACGTGCATGCTCTGAGTTCCGTGGTTCCTCAGATCTGTTCGAGAGGACCGATCTTGGAGGCGAATTTCCCCTTCTGCTCCTTTTCCACCTCTCCCTCCTAAGCTGCCGCCTGCTGCCCGCGCCCGACTTGATCGGCGAACTTGCCTTTCAGGTGCAGCTCAGAGCTGCGAGCCTGGGCAGGGTAGACACTTGTGCCGCGTGCGCACTGCAGAACTGGACAGGAAAGATCGCTGGATCGTCGACGCCGTCGTCCATTCAATCGTCGTCGTCGAAGTCGTCGTTGTCATCGTAAGCATGGTCGTCGTCGTCGTCGGCGTCGTCGCCGCCATCATCGTCTGAGAGGTCGCCGTCGCGTGAATCGTCTGAGTCGGTTACGTGTAGGACTCGAGGAGGACCGCCTTCTGTCTTGGCTCCCATCGCCTTCTCTCCCTCCTCCTTTTCCTCCTCGTGGGCTCCCTCAACAAGATAGATGTAGGAAGATAGAAGAAGAGGCAGGAGGAAAAAAACACAGGGGATATGTGCGAGGGCACGCGGAGACACGCCTGAAGCGCACCACGGTCGGCATGCTTCGCTAGAGTAGTAGTGGTGGTAGTAGTAGTGGTAGTTGTATTGTAGTAGAAGTAGTAGTAGTAGTAGTAGTAGTAGTAGTAGTAGTAGTAGTAGTAGTAGTAGTAGTAGTAGTAGTAGTAGTAGTAGTAGTAGTCGGAGTAGTAGTAGTAAGAGTAGTTCTAGTAGTAGTAGTATTAGTAGTATAGTGGGAGGGAGTATCAGTATTTGTAGTAGTAGTAGTAGTAGTAGTAGTAGTCGTCAGAATAGTAGTAGTAGCAGGTATAGGTGTAGTAGATGGAGTGGTGACATGAGAAGTTCGAGGTGTAGTAGTAGTAGTCCTAGATGTAGTAGAAGCAGGAATCGTCGTAGTACCAGTAACAGTACCAGTAGTAGTATTCGTACAAGTAGTAGTAGTAGTAGTAGTAGTAGTAGTAGTAGTAGTAGTAGTAGTAGTAGTAGTAGTAGTAGTAGTAGTAGTAGTGGTAGTGGTAGTGGTAGTGGTAGTGGTAGTAGTAGCAGTAGTAGTAGTAGTACTAGTAGTAGTAGTAGTAGTAGTAGTAGTAGTAGTAGTAGTAGTAGTAGTAGTAGCAGTAGTAGTAGCAGCAGTAGCAGTAGCAGTAGCAGTAGCAGTAGCAGTAGCAGTAGTAGTACGAGTAGTGGTAGTGGTAGTACGAGAAGCAGTACGAGGAATAGCACTAGTAGTAGCAGTACCAGTAGCAGTAGCAGTAGCAGTAGCAGTCGTTCGGGCTCTTCGTGGTGTGAGTCGTTCGGGCCCCTCGTCCTGGTGTGAGTCGTTCGGGCTCCTCGTGGGGCTTCTTGGGGGCCTCTTGGAGCCTCTTGGGGCCTCTTGGGGGCCTCTTGGGGGCCTCTGGGGAGCCTCTTGGGGGCCTCTTGGGGCCTCTTGAGGCCTCTTGGGGGCCTCTTGGGGGCCTCTTGGAGGCCTCTTGGGGCCGTTTGGGGGCCTCTGGGGGCCTCTTGGAGGCCTCTTGGGAGCCTCCTGGGAGCCTTTTGGGGCCATGTTGTGGCCTCTTGCGACCTCCTCAGAAGCGCAAGCGAGAGCTGCGCCCTGAGAAGGACAAAATGAGCCCAACACCTTAGTACAATCAATGGTGTTGCTATGAAGGAAGATGAGCGCGGCCCCCTTCAGGAGGCCAAAATGGGGCCAAAACCGTAGTAAAGTCAATGATTTTGGCTTCAAAGAAGAGCAGAGGGGCCTATCTCCCTCCCCCCGTCGGGGCCAGAATCCTCGTGAGGGTCGTCGTTGTTTAGCCCTCCCAGGAGTCGAGAAAGACCCCTCCAACCACCCGCGAAACCCCCTCTCCAGGTCCAGGGGGAGGGGGTAGGGGGAGGGGTAAACCCCTCCCCGAAGGGGAAGAAGGGGGGTTGAGAACAGAGAGAGAGAGAGAGAGCTCCCTAAACCACTCACGCCCAAAGGGCTTCGTAAAATCAATGATTTCGCTATGAAGGAAGATGAGCGCGGCCCCCTTCAGGAGGCCAACATGGGGCCAACACCGTAGTAAAGTCAATGAGTTTGGCTTCAAAGAAGAGCAGAGGGGCCTATCTCCCTCCCCCCGTCGGGGCCAGAATCCTCGTGAGGGTCGTCGTTGTTTAGCCCTCCCAGGAGTCGAAAAAAAAACCCTCCAACCACCCGCGAAACCCCCTCTCCAGGTCCAGGGGGAGGGGGGAGGGGGAGGGGTAAACCCCTCCCCGAAGGTGAAGAAGGGGGGTTGAGAACAGAGAGAGCTCCTTAAACCACTCACGCCCAAAGGGCTGGTGGGATTAGTCCAGTACTGAGCGCCTGCTTCGGTGGTACTGCCACTACAACGCTCACGCCTTACGGTTTCATTGGGACAGCAAATCCACCGACCCAACTCCAGGAAGGCGAGTCACCAATGGTACGGCTGTGTCACCAGGAGCAACATGAGAGGGGACAGCTTGAACAAATTGGGTTGCGTGGCCATGGCGTAAGCGAAATATTAAACAGAATTCGCGACGTGTATCGACAGAACATGGTTCGCGATGTTGTCCCCAACGCGATTAGATGCTTGTTGGACCAGCGCCAAGCACTGAAGGTAAAGCATGAAGAGTTGGGGATGCCGTCAGCAAGTGGTGAACTGACTGACGCGGCTATTCAGGTTTTGTCTACCACAGTGCGCGACCGACTGTTCGATTTGTCGGACAGCTTTCATGAAGAGGCGAAGCGGCTGCAATCAGCTCAGATGGAACTCCTCCAAGGAAATCTGATGGAGCTCATGCAGAAGCTGAGCTTAGCGACAGGGGACCAATTTGACGACAGCGTGCTCAGTCTGTGTAAGAAGAGTGTAGACCATCTGTCGACTGAGTTGGACACATGCTTGGACGTCTTGCTGGGCGACAACGAACAGCCTCTGAGGTTGCAGCGGTTTCCATCCATATTACGCGATATGAAAGAACTACTGAAACTTACGGTCGAGTCTTCAGACGAGTTGCCTCGGTACATCGTGCTCTTCCGCTCTGGAGTTTCCCCGTTGTGCAGTGGCAGCAATGTGTCTCCGTATTCAGTTCTTTCTCGTGAAGGTCTCACGCAGCTGGCAAAACACCTAGCACATCTGACGCACGGCAGCCCGCTTCCCACTGCGCACTCCCGTGGCGATGACGTAACGAAAGTTGTGCGTCCTGAGTTGTTGGTGGAGACTTGCTACGCCTACCGCTCTGACCTCGATGAGCAGCTCGCCCAACTTGAGGATGCCATGCGCGCCATGGAGAAAGTGTCGCTAGTAAGTGTCGGCGACATGTACTCAGCTGTAGGATTCGACACCCATGAGCAGAAGGTAAGTGACGTCTATCACTTGGAGATGACGCGGGTATCCAGCACTTGGACCGACCACTTGGGGACCAATGCTTTCTACGCAGAGGTCATCAACACCAAGTGGGCCAAGTACTTCACGCTGGAGCTGCCATGTCGGCACGACAGGACCTACCGCGTCGAGGAGGGGCAGGGTCGACACTTCCTCAGGTTTGCCGAGGGGCAAAGTGCGGACGGGCAAAGAGCGGACCAGCAAGAGAAGCGCAGAGCTCGTGACGAGGAGTACCTGGACAGGGAGAAGCAGCTCAGGCGGCAGGCCGTGGACCACGCCTGGAAGAAATTCGTGCGGGCCGCAATGGAGGATCGGGGGAGGGAGGGGCTGCTGCTGCTGCTGCTCCTCCTCCTCCTCCTCCTGCAGGTCCGGGACCGGGAGGTGGTCCGGGACCGGGGGGGTCCGGGACCGGGGGACCCACTCGCTCATCTATCTCGATAATATAAGGTGTGTGGAAGATCTTCAATAAATATCGATAGTGGTCCACATGCTGATATGCATGATTACGTTTTCACCAATCTCGAGCGAGAGTGCAATGCTTGAGTAAATTCTGAGGACGTCTCAGGCGACAGTGCGGCAAGGAGGGAGGACGGCAGGAGGGAGGAGGGAGGAGGGAGGAGGGCGAGGGAGGAGGGAAAGGGAGGAGGAGGAGGAGGAGGAGGAAAAGCAGGAGGAGGACGAAGACGAGGAGGATGAGGAGGCACGCAAAAGCGAAGTAAAAAACTAACTCGGCTGGAAAAAGGAGGAGGAGGAGGAGTCCGTAGCCATTCTGGCTCAAACCATTGTGTCGGCGGGGTAGGCGAGAAGCCTTGTATATAGCTTGTGTGTGTGTGTTTGTGTGTGTGTGTGTTTGTGGATTGCGTATGTGTTGTTTTCTTGTTTTAGCTGTTTTTTCACCTCCTGAACTCTTCGGTCTCTGGGAGCAGTACCTCGTCGAAAACGCACCACATCCACTTGAAAAGTGTGTTTACAGCGACAGTCCTGGGGTGTAGGCCTTCCGCAATCGAGATCAATCTTCCGACGAGGTCCTCGTCCCCATACGTCCAAAAGTATCTTGGATTGCCGATTTCGGGAATCTGGTCCACGCAAAGATGGATGTACAGACGCAGCTTTGGATTCATTTTCCACGTTTTTTCTTTTATTGAAACAAGCTGCTCGCACGTCTCGGCGATTGCAGTCTGAGCATCAGGCCGCATGAACTGAGACTCGTCCTCACATAGCGTGTAAAGTCGCACTAGACATTGAGAAACTCCTATCACCATTCTGTCCGTTTCGTCATCCATATCAGCATGGGTTGAGATGAGTTGTAGGGCGTAGTTAGGCAGCTTTCGCATGGCGGCGGCCTTGCCAGCAAGTTTTGGCCAGTTGCCGCCAGTTGAGCGAAGCCGATCGAGGGTCAACCCCCCATGCAATCTCGAAGTACATTGTGTAGCCTTGTACCACTCCACCAAATCTTTCTGGCACATCTTGACTCTTGCATCGTAAGTCGGTGCTCTGAACGCGTTCTTTTTCACAGCCACGTGGAACATCACATTTCCAACAATGTGCGCCGCGATCCCGAGGCCGACGGTATGAAGGACGTCCACCGTAACGCACTCGAGCCTGAGGCCTAGGACAACTAGGAATAGAACGGGTATCGCAAGACTTGTTGCAAGTCGGTGACGAATGTACGTTTCGTGAGTCCATCTCGTGGCCCTCCAGCCTGCATCCTGAGCCACATTAGTCCAACACCTGTGCATGTCGTCAGAACTTGCTCGGCAGACAGGGCACATCATGTCGCTCTGGTTCCACTGGGGGAAGTTAAAGACCTCTTTGTAGAAAGACCAATCGCCTCTGATCTGGCAGAGGCAGGCACGGAATCCTGCCGCCAGATCTTGACCTCCACCCTCCAACGCCCGATTGTTCCAGTTAACGAATGGAGTCTGACCACTAAGCATCACATTGCAACTCCATCCAAATATCCTGAGCAAACTATCAAGCGTATCCGACGTCATGTCAGATGTGCGGCACACTGTGAACAAGAACCGCGTTTGAATTGTTGTGCCTGCTGCGACAAGGCTGTTCCATGCCAACCCGTACATGGAGTCGGCAGAACAAAATGCCTTTCCGTCTCCGTGAAATCCGATCGGAACAGTTCTATCCCATACATCGCGTGGCAGGTGTGGATGCTCTTACACGAAACGGGAGTGGGCCATCGACTCCCAGAAGGCCACGAGGCCACCATCAAGGCCGACGATTCTCTGATCCCACACGTCTCTCCGCCTAGCACACATTTCCATGAAAAACTTGTGAGGGAATATAACTGGATGTACGATCTTCCTGCTATGCTTCATTGGTACTTCGACCCAGTAAATGGGTGGCGAGCCGAGCGGGTAGCCGAAGAGATTTTTCAAATCTCGTAGAAGGTTTTGAGGCCATTTCCCATATGTACCAACTGCTGCTAAATTGTCCAACCCCTCGGCTCCTTGCTGCTGGGCTGCGAATGCACATTCCTGAACTTTAGCTGACGATGGGGTGCCAGTTGCCCAGTCCTTGCGCATGGTGCGACAGAACGGTCCAGCTTCAGGAGCTGGCTCATTTGAAACAGCACTCCGTGATGATCTCTGGCGGACGCCTCCTCGAATCTTTGATTCCGACAGCTCGGGCTCAGGATCGTCAGCACGCGCGTCTAGCAAGCTGTTCGAAACGTCGTCTGACACCGCCCTTTCTATCCATGCATCTCGAAAGTGGCGTGCCTCTCAGCACAACAAGGAAACATGCACAGCAACATCACTGGGATGCCTTGCCAATTACTGTGAACCAGAATTATGGGCAACGGAGTGGGTGGGAGAGGGAAGGGGAGGCATGTTTCAGTTGGTATGTCATTTGGCATTGTATGTGTGCCGTGCATGTCATAACGCTCGTTGCAGGTTGGATTTCATGTGATGTGATGTTCATTTCATGTGGATTCGTTTGGTAGTTCATTGTATAGGTCTCTTCAGTTTGCCGTGTCCGTCTTGTTTGTATACAGGTCCCCTAAACATCGTTTGTTCATTTCATGTGGATTCATGTGGTAGTTCATGTTATATGTCTCTTCGGTTTGTCGTGTCCGTCTTGTTTGTATACAGGTCCCCTAAACAGCGTTTGCACTAAGAGTTTCTTGCAAGGGTTGCAATTGTTGCGATCGGTACCTAAACAGAGCTTGCACTAAGGTTTTAGTAGCCCTACGGGTCCCCAAACAGTGCTTGGACAGTGCTTGCTCAGTGCTTGCACTCAGTGTTGAAAGTTCAGTGCGTTTTGCGCCTGCAGGTAAGCGGACGGCTGCGAGCGAACGGCCAGCTCCAAGCCAGCTCAAGAGAAAACGTACTTGCAACTACGCTTCAAAACAACTCTCCCCAAGCAAAGAAACTGAAGTGCAGAACTCCCTGCGGCTGAAGATACCCCGAACTTTGATGCGACATGCTGTCACGCCTCACTCCCTCTTGGTCCTCCTGCGCTTGTTGCCACCCTCCCCAGTCGGCTTCGGGGTGTAGGCATTGAACCTGACGGCCCACTCCTTGATGGAAACGTCTTCCTTGTCAATCGCATCCAAGGTGTTGATCAATTTCGGCAGCTCAGTGTCGTTCACCTCCTCGGTGCACATCCTGTCCAGGATTTTGGTGGCCCTCGCAAGCTTCGCAATATGCTTGTCGAGGTCTTTCACGAAGGTCTCAGAGTACTTACCATTGTCAGAAGATGCTCCGATCTTAGTTTTGATCACCTTGGCATCGGCGTGCATGTCATGGTACACGCGAAGCTTATCCTGCACACCAGCCCGAAGCTCCTCGACGCGCTTGTCCATCTTCGTCGTCTCTGTCTCGGGCTCCTCCTTGATCTTCACATCGGAGCTCGCCGCCATGGCACTGTTGAACGTGGCGAGGTCCTCCTCGTCGGCGTCGCCCGAGACCTGCAGCATGAAGGTGTGGATGTCCTCGTCGCTCATCCGCTGCCACTCGGTGGGCACAGGGGGTCCGCTGCCACTCCACCAGCAGTGGGTCCGTGGAGCCTGTGAGGCGATCAGGCCTGCTCCTGAGTTTGCCACACTCGCGCCAATGCTTGGCCTTGGCCTCGCCTAACTCAGCGTCCATCTTATCCTGGGACATCCACGGAACATCATTGTACGTGATGTTAGATGTCTTCTTCGTCTTCTCGCTGAGCGACTTCTTCTCTGTATCCTTGCACCTCAGCTGGTGCACGAGGAACTTCTCTAGAAACGCCATCTTGGTAGCGCCTTTCGCCGACGAAGCTGCAGCGTCTGGGTTCGAGGGGAGGAAGTGCTTCATCGACTGCTTCTTCGAGGCCAGCTCCTTACCGTCTGCCTGTCGGCAGGCTCGAGAGATCCCCGCCACCCCACTGCCCCCGTGGAGGGTTGGGCGGGGTATGCGTATGCATACCCCGCTCAACCCTCCACAGACAGTGCCCTGTTTGAGAAATCGTGCGCTGCCTGTGCGAGTATCTCTCGAGCTTTGGCCAGCTCCTCCTTCGACGGCGTGACTGTGCTGAGGGTCGTCTTTGCCATCTTCGGAGCCATGGTGCGCAGCAGGGTCCAAGCCAGAACTCGCGCACTGCACTCGAGCACAAGTGGCTGTCGAGAGCTGGGGCCTCCAGAACATGAGCGATCAAGCCACTGAGGCTCCGGACTGCCTGCCCCGGACGTCCCCAGACATGAAGGCCTCCCCACCAGATAGGTTTTGTTGCCCCTCAGCCCTCTCCTAGGCATGAGTTGCGCGAGTGAAATGCGCCTGCACCCCCAGTGGCGCGCAAGATAACAAGTGCAATCCTGGTGGACACAGGGCGCGCGCTAAAAGTGAAAAATGAAACATGCATTTTTCATATTTCATGTTATTCTTCTTTTTTCAAAAACTTTTTTCTTCATATATATGTATATATATGGTTTTCCTAATAAAATGAAAAATGAAAAATAAAATGAACAATGAAAAATACATGTTTCATGTTTCACTTTTTGTTTCAACTCGTGACCGCACCTGGTACCCAGACGATTCCCACAGTGGCACATCCTGTGTCCTCAGATTTCTGAAATGACTCATGCACTCAAGGGAGCTGAGGGTACCCGAAGGGTTGCAACTATGCCACGAGTCCCCAGGAGGCCCTCGAAAGTCCACCAGGCCTTCGAAGAGGCCGCAAAGTGAAAAATGAAAAATGCATGTTTCATTTTTCAGTTTATGTTTCATTTGGTGTTTCAGCTCAGACCGCCCAAGACGGCCCCAATGGCCTCCAGGATAGCCCCAAGACAGCCCGTGAGGCCCCATAGAAGGCCCCAT